TCTGTTGTCTTGTACCAGTCTTGCCACTCTCCGTTCTGCCCTAACATTGACTAGTCGCTGACTGCCACAATTCGCACGTTCAGACCCAGATTTTCGGCTGACAGTCCGGTCTTTAAACACTTTAACAACAGCTGCTCTTGAACATTTAGCACATTCTGCTGTTTTGCTGATACTTGCTCCATGGCTCCGAGCGCCAACAATCATCCCGCGTTCAAAGGCTGTTAAATCGCGTTGTTTCCCCGTATCTTCAGAAACAAATCACTTCTACTGTCGTGGTAACCAACCTGCTTCCTATTTATAATGGTCTGGCCCTCTAGCAACTTCAGCGCCAAATTATAGCTAATTTGCCTACAAACGTCAGGTGGTCATAATAATCTGGCCACTCAGTGTATATCTGGGCAGGTTAATAACACCTCCTAGCTCCAATTATGCAAATGCAATCAACACCTGGTTGCAACAATCAACAAATTATGTGGATTGGAGCGACAATCGCCATATTTATTCCCAGAGGATTTATGTACAAGTCATTCTGAATTAAGAAAGCATGTCGGGTGACCAGTGAAACGTCTTCAAGAAAAATACAGCAGGTCCAGTTGCCTTGACTGATTTTCTTTCAATACATTGTGTTAAACTTGTATCATAGTCGCGGGTCTTTTTAACGCAGGCTGCGATGTTTACGATTGCAATACTTCAGCTCTGCGCAGATAAATGAATCTCCCCGCCATTGGTAGTTTGTATTGTGTTCTCCTGCGCACAGCTGCACTGCAGGCAACTCATAAAATATTCAATGTACTAATATGTCAGGAGGCTTTATTGGGCTAACCAGGTTTACTCATGGATAGAGGGTCGGTGTGACCCCCCCATACCTCACTACAATAGGCATTGTGGGCGTGCACTTATTCTAGGTATAGGACATAACGGATTATCGGATATCTTACTATACATTTTTGATTTGCACTAATTCTTACACCAGAAAGAGGAGTCGGTCGGGGTAAAGGCAGCAAAAATCTCCTATGTCTGGTACAGGTTGAACAATGT